ATACTAACTTTTAATTTTTTTATTTAAAAATTAATTAAATGATAATATTAATGTGATAAATTAATTTTTAAGTTGAAATGTTGAAAGTTATTATTTTTAAATAGAAAAAAAATTAAAAGTTGATATTTTTAAATTAAAAAAATTAAAAATTAATAAAATTAACATTAAAATAAAAAATACAAAATACAAAATTAACATTTAACTTAGCATTTTTGTTTCTTTCTTTCTCCTTTCCTTGTCCATTCCAATTCCTTTCCCCTTTAGTGCTCTCCTCCTTCTCCCATTCTCTCCACTTCTCTTACTGTGCTTGAATCACGTTTTCCCCAGACAATCAAATCTAAAAGAGATGATAAAGTCATTGGATTACGAAGATTAAGGTGAGTAAGTGGATAGTGGGTGATGGGAAAAAGCTTGGAGGGAGATGCTGTGGAGAGATTATGCCGAATTGAATGTTTAAGAGGCAACAATTATTTTCATCATTGGCCCTACAATTTGCTTTATTTTTCTAATTTTCCATTATTGTTTCCCTAAATCAAACTGACAATGGCTGTGTTGGACTAGAAGAACTGCACTCATCCAAGCATTGTTGATGTGTGGACCTCTGACGGAGGACTTCCACTCTATTTTCACTAGCATCACCGACCTAAACCCAGCTTCTCTTTATCTTGGGGTTTTTTACTTTACTTTTTTTTTTTTTTGGGTCTCCTACTTTTTTCTTCTGATTCTATTTTTTTTTTTAAATTCGATAATTTTTGTTGATAATGATATTTGATATTTCTATGATGCTTTCTGTTGAAACTCAAAATTGGAGATGAAGTAGTTATTATCAATTTACAACTAATGCAATGATGTCATTGATGTTGGATTTGTTTTCACTTCAACTTAGGCAACCCAATTGGGGGATTAAACGTGAAAAAATGAGTGTAGCAGGGGAAGGGCAGGGTCGGAGTTTAGCATTTTAATAGTAATCACTAAGATGGTGAAAATCCATATAATGCCATAAAAATATATGCTTGATCCTGATCAGACCAATGTGTGGCTCACCTGAGGTTGAGTTGGGTAAGTTGTACATGAATTGCTTAATCCATTTACCTATACTCTTTAACATGGTTGGAGAAGTTTTAACATTTTAATAATAGCAAATGAGTTGTACAAAAGTTTGTTTGGATGGACAGGATGAATTTTGATTAAGAAGTGCCTTAGGAAGTTAATGTTTGGATGTTGATTGTATGAGAGAGTCAAGTTTTTATGGTTGATGATTATGATTTTTGTAGTTATTGAACTGCTTAATCTATTTACCTATACTCTTTAATGTGGTTAGTATATTCGATGGAGGTGATCATCTAGAACCATTTAAGCCACTCATTGCTGCAGGGTACAGAGGTGTGGATGTTAAACTAGTTGAGAATTTTGGGTTGGGTGTATCAAACAAAGCTCTTGAATTTCTAAAGATGAACCCTATTGGAAAGGTTTTTGTTTAAGATGCTGCAAAACAACAATCTTCAGTCATAATTCCATTGATCATTATGGTGAGAATAATTCTCCCTCCCTCCCTCAGTCCTTTGTAGTCCTTTGATGATTTCCTTCAAACTCATGAGATTTAGTCGGTTTGTTACAATTACCAGCTTGAAGGTTGACAATCCTGTATATGGTTCTACTCTAATTGATTATGTAAGACCTTTTTTTATCCTAATATCTTTTTAATTTTTGCATTCAAGAGATGTCTGAGTAAATTTTGTTGTGTGTCACACAATCTCTATTATGGTATATTTTCTTCATTCTTCAAGCCCATTTTGAGCAGTGTATTAATTTTGCATCAATAGAGATTGATCTTAACATTTCAAAAGGGTTTTATATTAGTAAGGGATGCATTTTTTCCTTGCTCCTGTGAGTTGTTTTTATAGCTCTTGAAATTATTTTATAAGCAATTTTCACATTCTTCTTTTTGGTCAAAACATGTAGAACATTTTCAAATTCC